AACAACTCTCAACCCCTCATTTATTTACTACAATAGAATCTTGCTCTAACATGTGCCATCATTTTTATCTTTCTCCTAAAATGTAATTGAATCACATATACAGAAAAGCACAGTCCTCAGGGTCTTTCATTGCTGGCCTTAGTTGTTTTCTCTAATCCTATGATGATAGAGGTTCTGCGGCCCTACTGTTACCTCTATTAGTGTAAAACTACCTGTAACTTCGTCTTTGTGCTTGTACCCAAGATTTAAACCAGGTTGGAACGCTACAATGAGATAGGATTTTCCATTCAGAAAAAGAACCAACTCATCATTAGTATTTAGATAATCTTTTCATGTGCAATTAAGCAAAAATCTCTTGAACTCATTTCTAAAGTGTGGTAGACAATGAAAAAATTTCCTTCAAGTTCTGTGTATTTTATATCTTTCAGGGGCCCAGAAGACACTTGCTTTGAGTTTGGTGTTTTTCCTGCCATCCTGAGTTTCCCGCTAGATTACCCATTGAGTCCCCCAAAGATGAGATTCACCTGTGAGATGTTTCATCCCAACAGTGAGTACTTGGGAAGCTGTGTTAGTGGTTCCAGGAGGGCCCAGAGTGACTGCGTGAAAGGCAGTGTCAGTGAGTGAAACGGACCACCGAAAACATTTTTTATGTTCTGAATCTTAGCAAGTTAATCATGGTGGTATTGACGGCATTGTGGCTTCAGTTTAGAAGGACAGTTTAATGTAGATAAAAGTATAAGTTACCAAGAGAAATCCGGTGCCTTTTTAAAAATACTTAATTTCAGTTGTCTTTGTCCTAGCCATGTGAACATTTTTCAGGGATTTAATGGTAGAATTATTGTGAACAATCCTGATTATGTGAGACTAGTAGTCCTGCGCACGAATCTGTGTGCCAGTAGCTCTCTGCCGGGCCTGGCCTTCCGCGCCCGCTGCCCAGAGGCTCTCCATGGCGCAGAGGCCCATCTGCAGCTGAGCTGCCAGCTCTTAGTGGTTCCCCCCAGGACTGGGGGGACTCTGGCAGAGCTGAGGGTGCTGGGCACCACCATCTTCATGATGGAGTAATGGTTAATTTGCATATTGCCCTTTTATTAGATAGGACATTTTGGTGAAATATTTGATTGCCAAAAGCCTTTCATTTACTCCTTTTGGATATAATATTTTTTTAAAAACAACCATATGATGGTGGAATTGTCCCATAATGACTAGAACTGGACAGACCAGCCTAGAGCCCCTTCAGGGGGTGAGCAGTGACCTGAGGGGCCCATATAGGCCTACCAGGACCATGTGGATGGGAGCATGTGGAGGGGAACTTGGCACTTGGGGCTCAGGTTGTGTTTTAGTTGTGGAGACAGCCCGCTCTCTGTCTGCACCTCCTGCTCCCTGCCTTTGTGGGGCCTGATCCATACTGGGTCACTGACCCGGTTATTGCTCACCTGGTATGTTCTGGCCCCTGCAGTCTACCCTGATGGCAGAGTCTGCATTTCCATCCTCCATGCTCCGGGTGACGACCCCATGGGCTACGAGAGCAGTGCTGAGAGGTGGAGCCCCGTGCAGAGCGTGGAGAAGATCCTCCTGTCGGTGGTGAGCATGCTGGCAGGTGAGGAGAGCCTTGGCCACTGTGGGCTCGCTGCTAGTAGAGGAAGCCACATAGCTCCGTGCTTGTGCCTCCTCCGCATTTCATCCTCGTCTTCATTTTTTTAAAAATATATTTTTATTGATTTTTTTACAGAGAGGTAGAGAGAGGGAAAGAGAGTTTAGAAACATCGATGAGAGAGAATCATGGATCAGCTGCCTCTTGCACACCCCCTACTGGGGATGTGCACACAACCAAGGTACATGCCCTTGACCTGAATCGAATCTGGGACCTTTCAGTCCTCAGGCCAACGCTCTATCCACTGAGCCATACCGGTTTCGGCTCATCCTCATCTTCATAATTCATTCAGCTTTATTGTTTTTGATGAGTTTATATATATGCTTTTTTGCTTTTTCATTTCATGTTATTTGTATACACGGTTCCAAGCGTAATTCTTCCTGTGTTTCTAACCCGAGTACCTGGGCAATGGGGTGCTGTCTTTGGGGACAGGAACCTAGAGGGAGCATAATTTGTGGACGGGAACAGTTTGGGGTATGAGTGTCCACCCTCCAGTGCTTGTCCAGAGCCATCATCTGAGGGTGGGTCGTGGAAGTGAGGATATGGGATCATCTGTTGGTAACGGGTAGGCCAAAGGGGATAATGGAGAAAAGGGCACATAGAAGGAGAGGGGTCCTCGCAGGAGTGAGGAGAGTGGTCTGGAAAACTAGGAGGAAATGGAGGCATGTCAGAAGGAGAAAGTTGACGGTGCTGTAGGAGGTCCCAGCTGACTGCTTGGGATTCAGTGAAGTCCAGGAACCTGAAGTCAAGAATTTCAGTGTACGTGTGTGTTTTTGTTTGTTTGTTGTTGTTGTTTTAAAGAATAGTTTATTGATTTTTACAGAAGGGATGAAAGGAGAAAGAGGGAGAGAGGAATTTCTGTGTGAGAACATATCATCAATCAGCTGCCTCCTGCACGCTCCTTACCAGGGATCAAGCCTGCAACCTGGGCATGTGCCCTGACCAGGAATCGAACCAGTGACCTCTTGGTGCATGGGACGATGCCCAAACAACTGAACCACACCAGCATGCATGTTTTAAGCTGGAGACTCTCTCCATTCTCACATGAGCGAACAGAATCAGACAAAAAGTGTCTGAAGACGAGAGACAGGCAGTGACTTGGCTATCTTCAGATGTAAGCTCTAAGTTCTACTATTGTAAATGTTTTTGCTCTAAATTATTTTCCTTTATTGAGAGGTTTTAATGTATTTATACACTCCTCTCGGAATGCCAGTCCCCTGCTCTGAGCTGCTTTTCCAGCACCGTCACTGCCTGCTCTTAGTCTGGCCAGGCTGTCTCCCGTTCAGCTGTGTGGTCTGTCTCAGTGTTGCTCTAGGAGACTGTGGTCCTTGGGCCTCTGTGAGCCAGTGGGGCACTGGAATTTCCTCGGGCAGAGGCTGTGGGCAGGAATTGGAGGCTGGCTCTGTCTATGCTTGGCTGTTCCCTGCAGTCTGGCTCAAACAGGGGTCCCCTAAGTGCCACATTCTCTGAGAAGCCTGCGTACTCCCAGTCATCCTGCCTCCTGCTGTCCTGTTCTCCCCTTTGTAGCACTTAGCTTGAAATGAGGCATTTGTGGGTCCATGAGAGGGTGTCTCTGAGAGGGCCCAGGTCACTGGGTCCCCTGCATAGCCAGTGTCCAGAAGGAGGCCTCCCACACAGGAGCTGGTGAGAAAGGGTTTGCTGAATAATGGAAGAAGGGAAGGACAGTGCTATTGGTTGAAGAGTCACAGACACTGTGTGGCAGCTTAGAGCAGGAAGGCTAGATGGGAGGGAGCAGCCTGGGGCCATGCTGAGCTCAGAACTGCTCCTTGTCCTTTTGGCCTCTAGGCAGCCTTCTCTGCTCTGATCTGATTGCCTCTCAGTTCTACATGGTGGTGACTACCTATACCTCTGTCACTGCTGGTTCCCCTGTCTCCTTCCCACAGGCCCTGGCTGCCTCTCTGTGTGTCTGCTGATTCTAGCCTGGGGCCAGGTGTCCACATGGGCTCAAAGTCCATGTAGGGCCACATCTGCCTGGCCCTGTACTCTGATAATTGCTAGGGGGAGCTGTGCTGAGAAGGGCTCCGAGAGAAATGTCTGCACAGAGCAAGCCCTGGAGGAATAAGCTGGCGGGTGGGTGGTCTGTGACTCACTCTCTGGGCACTCCGCAGGTCATGTGCCAGTCCTATGTGTTAAGTGAGGTCGATGGCTTCTGTGGGCACATTTAAGATGCTCAGAAGGTAGGAGTCATGAGAATGGATCTTGCCCGGAGATGTGTCTCTCCACTGACCTCACACCTCTTCTCAGGGGAGGGACTGTTGCTTGTTCCATATATATATATATATATATATATATATATATATATATTTTTTTTTTTTTTTTTTATTTTATTGATTTTTTACAGAGAGGAAGAGACAGCGATAGAGAGTTAGAAACACTGATGAGAGAGAAACATCGATCAGCTGCCTCCTGCACACCCCCCACTGGGGATGTGCCTGCAACCAAGGTTCATGCCCTTGACCGGAATCAAACCTGGGACCTTTCAGTTTGCAGGCCGACGCTCTATCCACTGAGCCAAACCAGACTTCTCCCCCAGCATTTTAGTCATCAGCATCTCTTATTTCTGGGACACATCTTGGCAATGTAATGAATATCTTGTCAATTCAGACCTCACTTTAGGAGCCCCTTTCATGTGGACACGTCTGCCTTCTCTTCCAGAGCCCAATGACGAAAGTGGAGCTAATGTGGATGCTTCCAAAATGTGGCGGGATGACCGAGAGCAGTTTTACAAGATCGCCAAGCAGATTGTGCAGAAGTCTCTGGGGCTCTAAGGCCTCGCCCATGTGTGTGCCAAATCCACCACCAGGCGGTCTCCAGTGTTTCTCCAGGACATTGGGTGACAGTGACACTCTGTGCGGGTACCAAAAAAGGCAAGCTTGTAGATCTGCAGCTCTGGTCTTCTTTTCCACCCCTCCCACCCCAAACGGGCTTCTCTTCTGAAATTACAGCTCACGTAGGATAATGACAGTTGGATGCAGCTTTAGAGTGTTCCCAGCAAGGTGGTTCAGGTAGATTGTCAAAGCTGTCACCACTACCTCTCCCGACTGAAGCGCCTGCAAACCCAACAGTTAGTGGCTTCCCTTCCCTCCTGAGTGCTGAGGGGGTATGTGCTGGCCTCCTCAGGACTGGAGCCAAGGCCAAGGGCAGGGCTGGGTGTCTGGTCCCTCTGGCTCCTGTGTGCCCCACGAGCAGTACGCAGCTGTTTCAGTGTGTTGTGTTTTACAAGCAGGTGTGTGTTTTTTATAACCTCATCACATCTTTTTCTTTTGTTGTGTATTACAAACTGTCACACTTAGTAATACATTATTTCAGGAAATAAATACTTTTCTAAATGTGGATGACTGAACAGTGGGCACATGGGGAAGCTCACCGCTTCCACACAGACCGACGATCTTTCTTGATCACATTTATCAAAGATGACAGTTATTTCTTAGTAATACAGAAAAATATGGGACTGAAAGTTTTAGTCACAGTTTCTTCTGAATCTATAAGAGTTTACTTTTTCCAGTCTCAAAACCAGGGAGTTCTAGGTTTTTGCACATTGTGGTTGCAGCAGGAAGTTGGACTTATTGGGACAAAATTATTCTTTGTAACTTGGAAGGGATCTTTTGTTAGCGCAGAGCAGAGGCGTGCCTTATCTCCAAACTTGACCTGCGCTCACTTGTGGAAGTGTGGCACGTGGGGTTCTGGCCCAGTGGGCACAAATGACTTACTTGTGGATTACAGTCAGTCTTCTCCAGAATGAACAGCTCAGAAGCATGATGCTGGGTCCATTATGAGCAATAACAGATCTGTTGCTTGCAGAATCACACATTCAGCCTGTTTCACACAGGTTACATTTAAATAAGTATTTCTATTTTTAAAATAATGTATGGCCTTCAAGACATAGAATAGATCTTACTTTACTTTGTCCCTTCCTCCCCTTTCATGATGTGTCTGGTGGGCAGTTGTGGTGTTTGCTTTACTGCCACCTCACACATCATTTCTTGGGTTGACAAATACTGGCTAAGGGGGCTCTGTATTGGGCTTCATTGGAAACCAGATTCTCTCCTCAGAAGGGCACCTTTGAAGATTTGGAATTTAGTACAAGGTCTTGTATTTGGAAGGGGAGGGAAAGAGGTGTTGCACCTAAATAGTATTTGTAGGCCCATTTGCCAGAGCAGAGCCCTCTCCACAGAGAGGGAAAGAGTGTGGGGATGTGATCTGTGGACATGGCTGGAGAGTGGGCATTGCAGCCACATTAGCAGGTGGCCATGGGGCTTCCAAGAAATCTGGAGGAAGAAGAGATATTGTCTCTTTGCAAAACAAAGTATTTTTATTAATTTGTATTTATTAAATGGAAAGAGAATCCCCTGGTTAAAAATAAAGTTATATATTTTCCCCATTCTGCAGTGTATTTTTATTTGTCACATCTATACTAATAAAGGGGTAATATGCTAATTAGACTGGACATCCTTTTGGACAAAGCCATGGTGGTGGGTCCTGAGGCAGAGGCAGTTGGGCTACTGGGCTGCCAGGGGAGGGCAGTTATTAGGGGTGACTGGGCCAGCAGGGGAGGGCAGTTAAGGGCATTAGACAGGCAGGCAGGTGAGTGGTTAGAAGTCAGTCCTGGATTGCGAGAGCGATGTCCGACTGCTGGTTTAGGGCCAATTCCAGGTCAGACATTTCCCGGATTGGAAAGAGTGCAGGCTGGAACATTCCCTCCCCGCTGTGCATGAATTGAGTGCACTAGGCCTCTAGTTTTTATATAATGATATGGAGACCCATGACCAAATTGCCCATTGTGGAATATGCCAGAAGCCTCTCAGTAGAGCTGCCTTCCCTTGGCAGTATGCATGGGCACCAAGACTCCGTATCAGGATTGTTCAGAGGTCACTTTATTTTGGACTTGTGTGAGCCTTGGAGGAGTTCATTCTCTTAGTCCCTTTGTTCCATTCTCCATGTCTTTCCTTCTAGAGTTCTTGGTTTTCTAGCTGCGTCTTTGGCAGCATCAGTCTGTGACCTTCTCTAGAGGAGATGTCTGTTGACCAGCAAAGAGCAGGTATGTGAGTAGGAAGCAACGGGAAGCTAAGAGCACACTCGGATTTTCATTGGGACGTGAAGTCACAGTCCCTATGGGTGTGCCTCTGAAGCTTCTTGCTTAGTGTGTAAATTTTTAAAGAGGCCCAGGTCCCAGCTTTGCTGACCTCAGTACTGTTTGATGACTGTCATGGCCGGCTTCTCTTTTTCATCCCCAGGCTTCCCTAGAAACAGGCCTGGCCCTCCTTTCTCACCCTGAATCCTGGGCCCTGGACCACCTTCTGAGGGTTTGTTTTGCCCTCAGTCTCTGAGACAGCCCCTCCGCCCTCCACGGAGCCCCCTCCTCCAACAGTGCTCACTCTGCCTTCTGTTGAGGGGCTTTCACTCCTTTAATGTCAGATCTCTGGTTTCAAGTTGAGGTGCCTAAGATCAGCCCAGGTTTGGTGACTTGCTGGAGTCACAGCCATGATACAAGACAGCGAAAGCGTACAAGGCACCATCAGCACAGGGAAGTCCTGTGGGAGGGTTCTGGGACACCAGGTGAGTGATTAGAGCCTGTCCCAGTATTTGATGCAGGATGCACACAGCAAGGAGTATGGCAGCACCTGTGAGATGTCTATCAGGTACCTTGTCAGAGATCAGGGCCCAGGGTTTATTGGGGGCTGATCACATGGCACCTCTGTCTAGCACTTCCTGAAATTCAGGCACCCAGAGGGAGAGCATGTGTCGTCGGCATAATCATCGTCAGCACAGATGGTTTAGGCCAGTGGTCGGCAAACTCATTAGTCAGCAGAGCCAAATATCAACAGTACAACTATTGAAATTTCTTTTGAGAGCCAAATTTTTAAAACTTAAACTTCCTCTAACACCACTTCTTCAAAATAGACTCGCCCAGGCCGTGGTATTTTGTGGAAGAGCCACACTCAAGGGGCCAAAGAGCCGCATGTGGCTCGTGAGCCAAAGTTTGCTCACCACAGGTTTAGGCCCCGTGAGGCACCCTAGTCTGCAGTCCACATTCTCAGGTGCCAGCAAAGGGCCAATCTTGGGCAGGCAGGAGAGGCCATGCTGGCTGAGTTTGTTGGTGCTCAGACTGGGGGCCTGGCCCGTTGGGCAAGTCCCGGGAGATCTGATTGCAGGGGACGCACCCTCGTGGACCCTACACCACACATCCCCTTCCATGTAAGGAATGGTGTTGCTGGCTGAGCTGTGTGGCCAGAGGCCCAGTATTACAGCCCCCCAAATCTATTCAGGTCATGCTCCCCTCCCCCAAGACTGGGCTTTTACAGGGGACAAAATGGTTCACTCAGAAACCGTTCCACCACCAAACCAGAACGTGGCCCAGCAGCACCTTTAAGATCCCCTGCCACCCGGGTCCCATTTGTCATTAGGCCTGTGTCCTGGGTGTGAACCACCTGGTATCCACTGCCTCCCCACTGGACTGATTGAAACCCAACTCTGGCAGATGCTGGCACCAGCCCAGTCACATGGGGGTTGCTCCTCCTTCCTCCACATCGAGAGGCATGCCACCCTCCCTGCAAGGCCATCTGCCTTCGCCACCAACACCTGTTACCCCAAGCCCTAGGAACCTTGGTTTTATGCATGGCTTGGGCATTTGCCGAGACCTCCTCTCCACCTGGCACCCGCCCTACGGTTGTGCCACAACTTCCCATAGATGACCCGAGTCCCCAAGCTTCTCACATGCACAAACACCCAAAATGTCCACAGATGTTTTGCCCAGGAAAGCTGGGCATGGCTGCAGATGTGCACGCCACGGGGTGGGGCTGAAGGCCTTCAGCTGTGCGGGTTTCCTGGACCTGCCTGGCCGGAGGGCAGCTCGTTGTAGAGTGGCTCAGGTAGGTGTCTGGTCAAAGTCCAGAAGTCCCCTGATGAGCTCACGCGCAAGAACCAAGGCTCTGGTCTGCCTCCAAGTGCTTGTCTATAAGCCGGCTATACCGCAGGCCAGAGTTTGTTTTGCCCTCAGTCTCTGAGACAAAGCCCCTCCGCCCTCCACGGGAGGTGAGTATCTCCATGGCTGCCCGAGGCCCCTGGCTGTGCAGCTAGGGCCCAGGTCCATCTCAACCCAGGAACCCATCTCACTGCTTCCAGCCCCTCCACCTCCTCAGCTCCTGCCGCTGGCTCTTGGCAACACTAACCCTGTCAGATAGCAGCCATTGGCGCAGGCATAGGGTGGGCCTGGAGGAATCAAAACCAAAGTGCAGATCTCGCAGAGGGCAGGTAGTGGGTGCTTGGTGCTTGTCCCTTGGGCCCCAGTAGATGCATAACCAGCTGCGTGTGTGTGACTGCGTTGATGGTACTGACCTCACGTCCTGCCTCAGTCCTCCTGACTCCTGTTTGCTCCAGGGTAACGGTTACGATGACGAGTTCCTTTCAAGTTGTGTATGTGTGCATGCACGTGTGTTCATGTACATGTGTGTGCGGATTTACCTGTCTGGCAGAGGACCTAACGTTGGCTCAGATTCAGGTGGAAACCAGGGGCTGAGGGATTGTCTTGCTAATGGCTCTTTGAAATCCGGGATAATACACTAAATGAGTTGGAACCACATGAAACAGTTGCAGCTTCAGGGCAGAGCAGGCTGGGGGTTCTCACGGGTTTCTCCCTCTTGGACCAGTTCCCGCCCACGGGAGCAGCTAAGTGGGGATGGGGCAGCAGCAAGGTTCCACCCACTAGACCTCTGGGCGCCACCTCGCCCAGCATGGCCCTACCTTCGTGAATAACTGTGCGCACACACGAGTGCACAAGCACTCACACGTGTGCACAGCTTATACATGCATACAAGTGTGTATACATACATATCACTCCTCAGGGCACGAAGCCCCAGTGGCTTTGAGGCTGGGTACCTGATTGCCACCTCCATCTTTATTTTCCCAACAGTGAAGTCCCAGGAGGCTGCAGGCACCTGAGGTCTGTTCGTGCAGGCGGGATGGGATTTGGCTTTCACAGCTCACCACTGCCAATTCCTGAGCACTGCCTGGGACCCCACCAGGCTGGCAGGTCCTGGCAGGGACAGATGGGCGCTCAATGGGGTACTTGGAGGGTTTGTGGACAAAGGGGCGGGCAGGTTTTTGGGGACCAGGACAGGCTTACATGGGCCTGGGCTGCGGGGACAGGGTGGAAGGCTGTCTAGACCTGCTGAGCTGTAGCTGAGGAGAGGGGCCCTGACAGGTGAGCTGCAGGGGTGGAGCCAGCCCCTGCCAACTAGAGCCCAGCGATGGGTGAGTATGGGGGTGAATTCCATGCCTACTCTCTTTCCACCCACAAAAGTATGCTAGACTCCAGAAATGTAGGGCCTGAAGCAGGCTGAGGGGGAGTGGATTCAGGGGTGGGGGTGGGGGCAGAGCTCTGAACACACAGTATGTGGGTCTGCAGCCTTCCATGGGCTGGGGCCATGGGCAGTCAAGGGAGAGGACAGGCCCATGAATATGCCCCGGGGCCCATGGGGTGTCGGAACAACTTCAAGAAAACACAGATCTCTGTCTCTCTGTAGACCCTCTCCCCCAACCATTATCTGTCTGGGCTGCTTTTTGGGATGTCCTGTCCCATCAGCCCTGGCGGCTGTGGTTCCCTGGACCTGGTCCTCTCGAGCTCAGTTCTTTTTTTTATTTTATTATTTTATTATTTTTATTTTATTTTTTTCTAATCAATCTTTATTGTTCATATTATTACAAAGGTTCCTCATTTCTTCCCCCCTCCACCAGGTTCCCACC